TATATATATATATATATATAGGCCGGGAAAAAATTGTAATATTAAAATTATTAAAACAGAAGAGAAATTTACACAAAACTAATATATCAAATAATTTATATTATATACATGTATATATATATATATATATATATTTTTTTTTTGTCCTGAAAGTTATGTCAGTGAGTCGATTAAAAAAAATTTATTGAACTTTTCGTTGTGACACATCAAAATTCTTCAAAATAGGCTCCTCTTGCGTTGACACATCAGCTCCAGCGAGTTTTCCAGGCATCGAATGCGCCACGGTAAGCCTCGTCCGGATTGTCCTTTAAAGCCGCGGTGCAAGATGCTTGGATCCCCTCAATGGTCCCGAAATGCTTTCCTTTCATGGGTCCTTTCAGATGTGAAAACAGAAAGAAGTCGGGGGGAACGACGTCCGGACTGTACGGAGGCTGGGGAATCGTTGGCACCCCTGCTTTGGTCAGGTAGTTGGTGACGAGGAAGGAGCTGTGGGCCAGCGCATTGTCGTGATGCAACTTCCAGTCCTTTGCGATGTCCGGCCGGACGCATTGAACTCTGCATTTCAGTCTCTTCAGCACTCCGACATAAAATTTATCGTTCACAGTTGTACTAGGTGGTACAAACTCGTGATAGACCATCCGGCGCGGGCTTTGTCGTCGACCTCTTCCCTGCCTTCGAAAAAAACCTTGTGCCACCGGAACACTTGCCGATCCGAAGATCCAGGGCATCTTCTTTAAAAATTGTCTTGGTCATTGGAAGACTTTTCGCCGCGGTCTTGCCAAGTTTAACGCAAAATTTGATCGCCATCCTTTATTCTAACGAGCGCTGCATTTTTACTTGCACGAGGTCACAAAACGACTTCCACGGAAACGCATGTCCTTACTATGCGGCTGGTGGGAGAAGACTAAGTGACTCAACATTCGTTAGCTGACTTCCCCTTTACCATTCCAAACCGATCCGAGCGCGCTCAGACGGTCAGTCGTGTAAAAAAAAAAATCACTGACATTATTTTCCAGAAAAACGATGTATATATATAATATTTGAATAATCTGAAATACTAGTTTTGTGTAAATTTCTCTTTTAAGTTATAACATACCATAAGAAATAACGGTGCTAAAATTTTCCAGCATACTCGCCAGTAGATACCAGGAGAAAAGCCGATCATGTCTTTGATATCAGCGCAAAACCGATCCGTTCCATATATCCAACTGATTGCAATTGTTTCTGCTAAAACGGCAAACAGCATCGAATATCCGGCTGCGTACCGATCCAACAAATGGAAAAAGTAAAATCCACCCTAGATTAAAAAGCAACATAATTCATTTATAAAGTGAGACCTCAGCATAAATTTATAATATAAACTAACAAGAAAAGAGTGCAATAAAACTGTCCCTTATTGATTTCAAGAGACTTTGGATATGTTGTAAAGTAACAAACGATATTGGGTTGGAAAATAACTCGTTACTTATAACAACGTTACTTTTCATATTTTTTTTTGGTAACGATTCTGTAACGCCGTTACATTTATTTTTATTAACGAAAAAGTAACGACGTTACATTTTTTTCAGTTACGAGTAACGAAATTGACCGTTACTTATATTGTTATTTTCTTTATGAATGTGTTAACTTATATAAAATTGAAATAAGTTTCGGAACGCGGCGAAATGGCCTTATGGCAGAACTTGTGTGTTTTTAAAAGATTTCCAGAATATGAGTTTTCTGATTGGGCTATTCCGTTACGTTCCGAAACTTAATATTAAAAGTTGTAGCTGTACATCCCGTTTTTACGTATACTTTACGTAAAACATTACTATAAGTACTCTTGACTGTGTCGTTTCTTTGTAATAATATTCAATGATCGTTTGGAAAGAGCGGGATAAAATGGGGAAAATATAGAAATCTTTAACCCTTTTGGTACATTTGACGAGTGAGACTCGTCATCTGCTTACTTGGGCATAAAATGTATTACTTTTACATATTAATCCATATAGCGATAAATTAAATCCGTCCCATGGGCATAAAAATCTTAAAATAATTCAGTACTCAAAGGGTTAATAACCTTTGCCCACAGGACGCGGCAACGCTTGGCGTGGCGGAAGTTCGCGCAATAGCCAATCAACATGCCACTTTTTTATAATAGCCTTCTAGCTGTTTCGGAAAGCAGCACATTGATTGTGTTTTTCTCACATGTTTACCAACATATCGCCATGTTTTTCAGCATACTTAAAGTATGCTGGAATATTGAAATAACTCAAACTACTAGTGTCGGACACTATGAAGGCTGTTCGTATTCGGTCATATCACTAATCATTAAGCGCTTAATGAGCTGCTTTTTCAACCAAATGTTGCCAGTATGTATGCGATAATTTTATTGAATATTGTTACGCTCGCGCAGGAAAATAAAACGAGACAACGTCAAGTGGGAAACAACTTCAACTATATATTTGCTAAGAAAGCACGCGTAACTCGCAGACTCAAACTCTCTCTCTCGCGAAAAACAGACGCGCACGTCACGGCGACTCGACCGCCCCAGAGAGAATCTCTCAAACCCGTTGTTTATCCACGATTGCCGCCTCCTAGTATTGTCACAGAGTATCCATTTTTCATCACCAGTTATTATTTTGTGCAAAAAGTCTTTCTTCTTGAATCTTGATAGCAGGGACATAGCCGTGTCGAGGTGACTCTCTTTGTTTTAAACGGACTGAGCATATGCGAAACCCAATAGCTCGCCTTTTAAATCCAATCATGCTTATGTAAACGTTTCGAAATGGCTTGTTGAATCACTGCAAGTGCATTTATAGGCTCTGATTAAGTCTGGAAAGGATTTTTTTCTCAAACATTTCCAACTTTTTTTTTTCAATTTTCATCGATTGTCCAACATTTCTATCTTCATCCTGGAGATAGAAATTGCTATCTCGAAACTTTTGAAACCATTTTTCACATTAATAAGAGTCAGATATACGACACAGAATTTTCATCTTTCAAAGCCGAGCAAATCATTTCCTTAACTTCGGAAGCATTTTCCTTTGGTTGGAGGAATGCAAAAAAGAGGCAGTGCCTCAGATACTGCTTTTCAAGCGACATCACTTTCACTACTGTATTTTAAAGTTATTTCAACAGCACCATCAACTATTTTACTTCGTTTTAAAGCTGAAAGATGGCGCTTTAAAACGACTATACGACGGGAAAAAAGTTTAAATTAAAATAGGTGCTATTATTGATTAAATGTATGGCCCGATAATTAACTTGTACACCTAATACTTAATTTCAAAATATATTTTTTTCAAAATAAACCAATATTTTTTTTATATAAAAAAGTGTAACGTTTTAAAATAAGAATATAGTTTTTTGCAAATATGTAAAACAACAATTAACAACCTCTTCAATTTTAGTTTTTATAAAAACTATAGATTTTATAAATATAATAGAAAGAAATGGAGAGAAAATAGAAAATTTGATATTGTCAAAAATTATGAATATAGTTATCAAGAATATAAAATAACCATATGAAACATTTGTATGATTTATTTTTTTTATGTATCTCATATAGTTTCCATGATATTCGCTGAAAAATATAATTTTTTTTATTTTCGAGAAATTTTTTCAACCCTTAAATGTTGAAATATGTGTATAAGAAATTTAAATCTGATATTTTTGTTACTTTGTATCATATCCAAAGCCTATTAAAATTGGTAAAGGACAGATGGGTTCCTTTACCCATAAGTAATATAAACAAATTTTCATATGAAATATCTTATTAAAAATTTAGATACATTTTAGACGAAATGTATCGTATTGAATTACATGTGAATAAAATTCATATAGCAAAGCTGGAAAATTCGATATAAACTTCTTAAACTACAAATTTATAATATGTAATTGTAATATTATGTTACCTGGGAGCAGGAGGCTAATCCAACCAAAAAGTACAGAGTGAATAAGCATGCAACAAAAATTTCACGATTGTTGCCGATTATTGGAAACTCGTCACTGAGTGCCGTTATAATTGCTTCCGAACCGCCAAACTGTAAAACCATACAAATTTTTTATTACATTTCAGAATATGACTGTTTCTATTACAAAAAAATACTTTGGATTGAAAACATTATATGGTATTCTATTGGAATGGTCAATAAGTTTTTTCATTTTTTTAAAAGAAATTTAAATACATATTTAATGTACTCAAAATTTTACCAATGTATTAACCGTTTTGTTTAACTACTTTCTTCCATCTTTCAGGCAGCTTTCCATCCAGGAAGAACTTTCCATTTATCTCAATAAAAAATTGCTTAAGATATATTTTACAAGCTTCCAGATTGCCAAATTTCTTTCTAATAAAGGAATTTTGCAAAGAGTAGAATTAGTGACAATGTGATGTCGTAAGATTTGGAGAATTCGACGGATGATGAATGACATCTCAGCCAAGTTCTAATAATTTTCGACGAGTGGTCAGGCATTGTCCTAATGGAATAACGGACAAAGCCTTTTCTATTCATCAGTTTGAACGCTTCTCATTGACTGCAGTCTTCGGTCTGCAGTTGCAAGCAGTACATATTCGAATTAAAAGTTTGATTGTTTGGTAATAGCTCGTAATAAAAGATACCCTCCCAATCCCACCAAATGCAACGTATTTTTTTTTTTAGATGAAGTCTTTGAAATGGTCAATGGTGGTTCATTTTGCATAGTCCAAAATTTCTTACGGTGTATGTAGTAAACAATTTATTTCTCATCATCAGTCAACATTCGTTGAAGAAATATGTCGGATTCATCGCAATTGAACATATCGCAATGAAGATGTTGTTCATTAAATTCATTTCAATTAATTCGTACGGTATCCAAATATCGTAACGATTCACGTACTCAAATTTTTGTAAATGGTATAGAACGTTGGATTTCGATATATTAAATATTTCTCCAATCTCCTGAGTGATTTGACGCGGGTTATTTTTCATTAGTATCTTCATTTGATCCTCATCAATTTCAATCAGTTTCCCTAAACGTAGAGCATCTTTGACAATGAAATTTCCTGTACAAAACTTTGTAAACCAAAATGAATTCAGAGGATTGCCGCTTTACCATACACATCGTACATATCTTCTTTCAGTTTGTACAGCGTTTTTACTTTTATTATAATAATAAAGTAGAATGTGTAAAAAATATGCTTTCCTCCATCTTTACATTTATGAACTATTGCGATTATAATTTATAAATTATATTAATATAACTTATGAATTATTCTTCAAATGCAATAAACACAATCAATCTTCACCTTCTTTTCTTAATAATATTCTGAAATGTCATTTTTCAGATAATATAGTGTTTCATTTTAATTAATCACCTCTGTCAACTTTGCAGGGAATGGTCAGATAAAAAAGTGTTCTCTACAGAAGTTGTTGGGTTTAGAGGAGGACAACTGATCGACATTGAACTTTACGTAATATTATTTAAGGTCGAATGAAGGTCAACTCCAATTTTTTAAATAGAATAACCTACTTTTGGCACCGGAAATCATCAGAGAAGGAAATTTAACTTTAAAATTTAATTTTAAATTTAATTTTACTTTAAAAAGGTGGGGTAATATATGAAGCCAGTTATCTTCAAAAGGTCATATGAAAGTCACAAATGTTTCGTCGGAGCCCGACGCCACGAAGAAGCACACCTGCGCTCCGAATCATCATTACATCATCCGTTCAGCCAAAGATCGTCTTACCCGAGGATACTATAAAATATTTTCCTATTACTGGTTAACCTATCACTGGCTAATCGGAAATGCAGCTACGACAGTCCAGAACTTCGCTATCTCCCCATTTTTGCATCTTGGGCATTGTTTTACGAAATATCACACGAAAACTAATTACAGAGTGTAATATTTACCAAATTTTGTTATATTCAATATAAAAATAAATTAATTGGTGAAATTTTATTTTTGCTTCGTTTTCTTAGAACTATATATCATATGCGCGATGCATGGCTCAAAAGGAATCGGAATCGTGCGGGAGGCGTGAATTCCATTATGTGTTGTTCGTCAGGGTCTGACGACGGAGAAGCACACATGCGAAATCCCATTAGTAAATTTCTTTAGTAATTACAACTTGTGTCATTCACTTGCTAGTATCGCCTGCCCGTATTGTTGCCAATCCAGATGCAGGACAGAGACTCGGAGACTCTTACTAAGTTTGTCTATTGTCCCGTAATTTAAGCTGATTATTCACGAAACGAAATCGCAGATATGATCAGAATTTTAGATGAGGCCAGGAATAATTATACACTAACTGAAAGGATTTATGCCAAAACATTTCTGGACAGACGTCGTCCTAATAAAAGGATAAAACTATGTGAAAGGGCACAACAGGACATTCTCAGACGAATACGCAGAAAATCACGGACCCTGATAAAACTACGTCATTGACTGTTCTCAATATCGCTTTTTTAAATCCACAGATATCTATGCGACAAATAGAGAAAGAACATGGCATCAAATCAACAGTCAATCGTGTGCTCAAGGCTTATAGGTTCCATCCATATCACATCCATTCAACCCAGCAATTGAAAGAGGGAGATTTTCAATGCCGTTTATTTTTTGTAATTGGGCTCGAGATCAAATTCGAAGAAATCCTTAATTTTTTTCTGGAGCTTTTTTTCAAACGAATCATATTCGGTAACAAAGGTGGCGTTAATAAACACAATTGCCATTATTATTTAGACGTTAATTTACATTAGCAAAGAAGCCAAAAGTTCCAGAGGCAGTGGTTTATTAATGTCTGTGTAGGCATTCTAGGAGATGTTATTGTTAGTATATATTTCTTTGAAAAAAACTTCGTTGCGGCTAATTACTTAACATATTTCAGAAATGGCCTGCTTCATCTTTTGAAACATGTCGATAATGATGTGCGCAACTAAATGTACATTCATCACGACGAAGCACCGAGTATAGATCTCGAGCCGTTAAAGAATACTTAAATGAAATATTCCCTAACAGATAGATTGGTATGGGAAGCCGGGTTCAAGAAAAGCCAGCAAGATCGTCAAATTTGACGACTCTACATTTTTATTTTTGGGGTTACATCAAAGATCAAGTTTATTCCGAGGAGCCTACGACTTTAGAGAATATGAAAGATCGCATTAGGGAAGCATACAGAACTATAAACGCAGATGTCGTTCGAAAATTTTTGGACGATTTTCAACATTGACTGGACCTGTGTATACAAGTGAAAGGTCGAGTTTCCGAACATCTAAAGTAAATAAACACAAGCCTAGATTTTGCCTTTACTGGTTGGGTTCTTCCTCGGTCCTGTCTTGAATAGCTAGATCGTGTCTAGACATTGCCTTGACTGACTGAGTCATTTCCTGGTCTTGTCTTAAATTACTGGATCAGAAGCGATTTGGCCTTAGGTGGCTGGATCAGAAACGATCTTGCCTTGTGTGACTGGACCAGAAACGATCTTATCTGTAATTTACGAATTATTATTTAGACACAAAGAACATTGTGACCTTCATAAGATCCTTTGGGATCAATCCCATATGGTTATCCCATGCTTTTAACATTAAATTTCCTCCTCTATCAATTTCCAGCATCAAAAATAAATGTTCTATTAACCTTTTGCACCCGAGGCCTTTCTAGCTCGCGCAAACCAGCAACTCGAGACGATTTCGGCTAAATTATGGAAGCATTTTATAGGTACTTTAAAATCATTTATACTCAAACAAACGTATACAAATAATAAAATTTCACCAATTAATTTATTTTTATATTGAATACAACAAAATTTGGTAAATATTACACTCTGTAATTAGTTTTCGTGTGATATTTCGTAAAACAATGCCCAAGATGCATCCTAGGTTTATCTGGACACGTATCACAATAATATGTTACTTCCCGTCTACCGCCAGGCGTGTTACAGTCAGAGCAAACTTTGCAGTCCCTTTTTGGCCCTTTTAGTACTATGTCAAGCTTCCCATTTAGTCGGGTTTCATCGGTATGCGACGTCGACGCTTGTTCACGATGCTGGCGATATGATCCTCTCAATGGCTCTCAATGGCTCGACAAGTGTTTTTAGAAATCGCAAATGAGTGAGTGGCCTTTCCCCTTTTTTGTTCTTTTCTAGTTTATAAAGAATGTAGGAATTGATCAGGCAAGTTTCTATGCCCAAAAGAAAAGCTTACGCCACCATTTGAGCGATTTTCGCAAAAAACAATACGGGCGCCATAGCAGCGCCGCTCGAGTTGACGCTTCAAATCGGCCAGGCGCTGTATCGGCGCCGCTCGAGTGCAAAGGATTAAAAATTGAAGTTACCTTCATTTGACCTTGAATATTAACATCTACGTAAAATTCAATGTCACCGTCAGATATTCCCCTTAAAAATCAACAACTTTTGTAGAGAATATTTTTTTATATGACCATTTCCTGCGAAATTAACAGAAGTGGTCAATTAAAATGGAATATATATTGTTACGCCCGTGTCTGGATGCCCTCGCTTTTAGCGCTCTGAACGTACAACAGATTTTCTTGACAATGAGTCGTCAACAACAGATGATCAGCGTTGACCGATAAACAAGGGGTTTGAGAGATTCTCTCTGGGGTGGTCGAGTCGCCGTGAAGTGCGCGTCGGTCTTTCGCGAGAGAGAGAGTCTGAGTCTGCGAGTGCTTTCTTGTAAATAGCAAATATATAGTTGAAGTTGTTTCCCACTTAACGTTGTCTCGTTTTATTTCCCCGCGCGAACGTAACAATATATTCATATACAGGGTGTCCCAAAATAATATATACACATTTTGAATAATTGTGAAGTCAGCGTTCATTAACATACAATTTATTTTCAAACTTTACAAGATTCTACAGAAATTAATAATTTTTGTCAATGTCTGTTTTCAAACTGATGATGTTCTAGTCGAGGTATTGCATATAACACGAAGCTATAGTATCTCAAACATCAAGTATCATTTGGTTCGATATTTGTGTGTATTCATGTTCAATGGCTACCCGCAATTCGTTAACTGTTACCGTAAACGTTATCTTAACTTTATCGT